ATGCTCAAGCACCGTATTTACTTTTATTGAGTCTGTACTTGGAAATAAAAAGCAGGCACACGTCAGGATTCCAATCTATCTTATCCAAAAAGAAAGTGCTAAATTTTTAAGTTTCTACTGTTTGACAGAAACTGATCCCATCACTACTTGAACCCTTACCCTTACTATCCAAGACTCCAGAAATGAACAGATATGAACAACCTGGTATCCTTCATTATACAAACTCTCACCATCCAAACTCAAGATATAAACACAATAGACTCAGACTGCAAGGAATACTTATCTTTTGATTCTTACAAAAATTTTTAATATAACTTCACACAAGAAAACTTGGTGCTTTTCAAGAACATGAAGGTAATTTCTACCAAAAGTCACATAAACACTGGCTGTAAAACAGAAAACATCTTTTTATATTATCATTCTCGGCAGTCTGCTAGAACAAGTGTTGACAGTTATAAAGTTACTAAACCTCAGCTCCAAACTGAAACACCCCTCAACTCATTCTGCTTTGTGATGCTAGAGCTGGGATTCTCTGCAAGACACTTCAGCTTTGCTAAATGGCTTCCTACAAAGCTCTACCAAGAAGAGGCACTGAAAACAGATTCAAGCCTAGAAGAAGAGGAAGAGACTTGTACCTTCCTGCCTATTCTATGAGAATCATAAGAGCAATTCCCTAGCAAAGCCTTCTTCATCCCTGAAGCAGCAGTCTTTCTCATAGCAGCAGATAAATCTAGCTTGCAGTGTTTCCAATACATGCAGAAACACCAACACTAGCCAGCATCCCCTTCTCAGAGGCCTAGGTCTCAAACTTATAGGTCCCCTCTTCCAAGATCAAACACCAACTCTAGCTATGCAGCAGCTTATTCTTACAGGTCTAAGTCTCAGTTCAACAGGGACTTTATTTCTAAGTCCCCCATCCCCAGCCTTAGAACTCCCTGAGTTCTATGAGTAGTAGTTGGCGCACTGTGTGTCACCTGTCACCCTGCTCCTACCCCGAAACCAAGGACTGAACACAGGGGCACTCTACTACTGAGCTACATCCCAGCCCTTTTTATTTTTTCTTCATATCACTAAGTTGTTGAGGTTACCTTTGAATATCACTAAGTTGTTGAGGCTTAGCTTTGAATCTGCGATCTTCCTGCCTCAGCCTCCCCAGTAGCTGTAAATATAGGTGGACACCAATGCACCCAGACTATTGTGTCTATCTATCTTCTTTTTTTTTAATATTTATTTTTTAGTTGTAGTGGGACTCAATAATCTTTATTTATTTGTTTTTATGTGGTGCTGAGGATCGAACCCAGGGCCTTGAATGTGCTAGGTGAGCGCTCCACCACTGAGCCACAACTCCAACCCTGTGTCTATCTTCTTGATACCTAAAAGTTTTATTTTATTCTATTACCTAATTCTATTTTATTACCTAGTTAACAACTTTATATCTAGTTAAGAATTCTATTAAAGAATCCCTGTTCAAATAAGTGGTATGATTTCTACCTCCCAAAAGAGCCCTGACTGACAGAAGAAAATAGTCTCATTACGTATACAGAATATGATATTGTTACTGCAACTTTAATTATAATGTATTTTTACCTATATCAGCAAGTAAAGGAGAACAAAGTGTTGATAAGAGCAGTCTGATTAAAATTAAAGAGTATATCTAGCTACTGCTACAAATTTTCTATAAATAATCTTAAATAAATTTACATATAATCTGATATGGTATACAATTATATGATATGAAGATATTTTAAAAGGCTTTCTTTCCAAATTTTCTACACTAAAGTGTTACATTTTTTTAGTTGTAAATGGACACCATATCTTTTTATATATTTATTTTTATGTGGTGCTGAGGATTGAACTCAGTGCTTTACATGTATGAGGCAAGAACTCTACCACTGAGCTACAGCCCCAGCCCTAGAGTATTACTTTTTAATCATAAAATATAGTGATTTTCAAAATAATCAACACATTCAGATAAAATAAAGATCCAATATAATCTATAAAAGACAATATTTGTTTACCCTAAATATTTAAGAGGACAGAGGGGGTTTTTTTTGTTTTTTTGTTTTTTTGAGAGAGAGAGAATGAAAATTTTTTAATATTTATTTTTTAGTTTTCAGTGGACACAACATCTTTTATTTTTATGTGGTGGTGAGGATCAAACCCAGCACCCCGCACATGCCAGGAGAGCGGACTACCACTTAAGCCATATCCCCAGCCCCAAGGGAGAGTTTTAATCTATTTACTAACTATCCTAACCCAAAATTTTAAAAAAATACTTCACTATTTTCATCCCACTCCTTACCTTCACTTACATATACACTGTGCACTCCCACTCATACCTGTGCTTATAAACCCGTACATGCCTACCCATGTTCTCATGTCCAGCCAATACATCCATTTCTTCCCCACCAACTCATGTGCTCCAGGTCTTGAGGCTAGCTACTTCATAAATAAACACATAGTATGCATAATCATATACACAGTAGTATATACAACAGCGGTAAGGCAAACAAGCAGTATTTTTCAGTGGGTCTAAGTTACTTTAAGAGTTCTGGTTCTCTTCTTATTTGGGTAATGTAGCTGATAGAGGGGAAGCATTTCTGGTAATTGTGGAAAAAGTAGATCAGCATTTATTGTGGTTTTAAGTTACCCTGTTTTATCCTCTTCCGCTGCCCCCCCCCAAAAAAAAATCAGTCTTTTTTTCCTCTTATCTCAAATCAATACTGGCTTCCGCTTAGAAATGCAAATGATAATAGTCTTCTATGTATATACATCTAAGAATGGAATTCTTTGCTTCAGAGATGAGCCATATAGAATATTACAGAAATGAAAGACATACATAAAGATACAAAATATTGTGACTCAGATGGTATTAGGCGACTTGGTTTAATAATTCTGAATCTACAATATGGTGCACAGGAATTATAGCACAAAGAATAAATCATAAATAACTTATAGTATCTCTTCTCTTTTATCATACTTTCCAGTTCTACAATTTTATCAAGCAAAAAATCAGGACATATATTATTCCTAAACCAATGCCTATATCAGCTTAACCTAAATTAAATATTCAAATTAAAGAATTTAAATTTTCAGTCAATGGCCTTAATATAGTATTGTTTCAGCATATTTCACTACTAAAATATCTTTAAGGAAATCTAGTTAGTGGAAGATTAAAGTCTACAAAATATCCTGATGTAAATTTATCCAAAGTTTTAAATATTCAAAAATGACTCCTTTCATCATACTAAGGAGAAATCAACATTAAGTCAAATTAATTCTAGAATAGCTTTAGAAACTAATGAAATTATTTTTTAAATTTTTTTCAGAGCTATATAGGTGGCAGGCATAAGTTAAGTAGAAAAAGAATCATTATTATAAGATTAAAAAATGCATTCTCATGGAAAGAAATGCCATAATGGCATAACGTTTACCTTCTGAGGAAGGGAATAACAGTCTTTACCTGCTGAAAATTCAAGTACCCAAAAATTAAAGGGCAATTTCACTGTTCATTTTCATTTGTGGTAGTCTAGAAAACCAGAATCTCTTTCAAATCTAAGGATTCCTTGACTTCACATTCATGTTTCTAGCAACTTTATATCCCTTCTCTTTCCTCCTGCCCTCCATAATAGGACAATTCCAACTCTCTTTATCACTTAGGCTGTTCCAACCACACTGGCCTCTTCAATGTTCCTCAAATACACAGAGCAGACTTCTGCCTTGGCATTTCCTGGAATTTCTCTGCCCAGAATGTTCATCATCCACATACCCAGTATACGGTTCATTCCATCACTCAGCTCTTCATTTAAATGTCACCTTTCAATGAAGCATTCTCTGGCTAACCTGTTTAAATAACATATACTCTATATCTTATTCTTGTTCTCCATTTCAATTATCTTCTTAGCCCTTATTGATTTTACTATCTAACAGAATCTTCTACTTATTTTGTTAATTATCCCCTCACCAGAATGCATATTCTATGAATATATGATTTTTACCTATTATATTAGGATAGTGGCTGATTAGATATTAGGTGCTCAATATGCTAAATGAATAAATGATACAGCTAACTTTGGCAATATCACATGTAACTAGTACATGCTGTCATCAACACTTTACATTCTAATCTGTAAGATGATTTCAATGAACAGACTAGGTTATTTTTGTGTCTCAGTTTTCAGAGGCTACTATGAGAATAGACTATGGATGTCAATACAAACAAAAAAGTCCCATATGTACCTGCTTTACCCATGAATTTCACATAAGCTTTAATTTATAGAAGGACTTGCTAATTTTCCAAAAACTACTGAGCAACAACTTAAAAATTCTTGCATTTTTACATTTTACTATTGTAAATGATGGCAATTCAGATACTTACACCATTCCTCAAAAACAAGTTAAAACTAGTATCCTCAGTAATATTTAATCTGTAAAGAAGTTAGTCCAAAATTTACTATCTGCTAATTTAAACAGGGAGAAAGGGTAGTTTTTAAAAGAAAAGAAACAACTAAAAAGTACAAAATACATCATTTCTGTATAAAATTATACACTAAATTTACTTAGTTCACTAAACAGATATTAAAAGCAGATCCAAATCTCATTACCAAAAAAATCTCTGAAAGCAAAAATATCTCTATACTCAGTCAAATTGTACTAATTGACAAAACAGTAATATTTTATTCTGAGACATACCTTTAAATTCACTGTAATATGCCTTGACCGGCAAAATTTTTTTCAAGTATTGAATATCTCAACAAAGAAAAAGAGCACTTGACAGGCACAGTGGCTTATGCCTGTACCCTAACTGCTCAGAAGGCTAAGGCAGAAGGATTGCAAGTTCCAAGCCAGCCTCAGGGAAAGCAAAGCCCTAAGCAACTCAGTGAGACCCTGTCTCTAAATAAAATACAAAATAGGGCTGGGGATATGGCTTAGTGGTCGAGTACCCCTGAATTCAATCCCTGGTATCCACCCACCGAAAAAAAAAGAAAAAGAGCACTCACCTTAATGAAGTTACAGATGGACAAGCCTGTCCATACAAACCCATCTGGCCACAAAGAGAATCTAAAAAATAAGTAAGAGTTAATTATTACATGTTCCTAAGCATGTTAGAACTATAAATTACACTACAATTCTAATTAAAACATCTGAAAAAAGAAACAGAAGACTAAAAGAATCACCATTATCAGAACACAAAAATCACATGAACAAAAAATACTATAGATTGATAAAAAGGATTACACTGAGGAAGACACACATACCGGAAATATGACAGAAATAAACACATTAAAACTGTATAACATGGCTGAGCACGGTGGCACACACCTGTAATCCCAGCAGCTCGGGAGGCTATGAGAGGAGGATTGCAAGTTCTAAGCCAGCCTAAGCAACAGCTAAACAGCTCAGTGAGACTTTGTCTCTAAATAAAATACAAAACAGAGCTGGGGATGTGACTCAGTGGTTGAGTGCCCCTGAATTCAATCCCTGGTACACATACACACACACCAAACTGTGACATGCAAAAGCCTGCTCATAAAATTTAACAAATAGTTATAAATATAGAATAGAGAGAGTGTATCCAAACTGTTTAGGAGAATCCTAAGCATTCCAGAGGGATACCTAAAAGCTATTATACAGTTGAGCATGCAAGTCTCTACTATACCACATTAATTGATCTCCCCACAATATACACAACTACTCCTCAATAAAAGCAGTGCTACCATTATTGGTTTTATATATACTGAACTGCACTAAGACTTCATCTGAAGTAAAAAAAAAAAAAAGTTAAATTAGCACTAGAACAGAAGAAGCTTTAAAATAAGTTCTAGGTTCAAATTCTAACTGTGTCCTATTGAGACCTTGAAGAATTTATACAACCTCACTGAACTCCAGTTCTTTCAGCTGAAACTTGGGAGATAATACCACCTACACATCTTTATTTATCATGTGGGTTTGTTGGAATTGGTTTAACTGTATACATACATATACAAGACAAGAGATTAAGACTGTGAGCAACTAAAAAGAGCATGTTTAATAGGAAGGGATCAGCTGCTACTCCCAGTTCTATCTAGCCAAATGTTGCTAGGCAAGAATATTTTAGACCCAGTATTTTAAGAACTTAAAATTTTTCAAAAGAAGAAATTCAAAATATTATTTGAAATATCTTAAATTTTGTTGTCTACATACTAACCTGTCAAACAAAATACTGGATTTTGTTCTAAATTTATAACCTTTGATTCAGAGACTGAATGATTCGCAGCAACTAATTGTCCCTGTATACACTTAAGAGAAACAGATGACAGACAATTCTATTTCTGCTATAATGACAAGATGGATGGATTGGTCTGAAAATAACCAAATAGCTGGATAACGTATTTTTAAACCTTTAAAAAGGAATCTAAAGCCTGACAAAGAATAAGGTATGAGCTGAAGCCAAAAATTAAAAGAAAGAGGGAAACTAGGAAGGCATGCAGAAAAGAAAAAAAAAAAAAGCAATTTTCTTTCACCTTTAGGGCATTTTTGGCATATCCTACAAATTCCAACTTGCAATTTTAAGACCTCTTGGGGTGCAAGTCTTACCAAAGAGAACTTTAAGGAATGTTGCTTTTGTACCCTTGGCACTAAGTGTTGGCAAGATGATGATGCTATTACAGCAATGCAGTGGTGTCTCCCTGATAGTTAACAACCACAAGTTAAACCTCTCCTAGATTTTTAGTTTTAAAAGCTTCATACCTAGAATTTTGTTTAGGGCAGCTGTAGGATAGTAGTATCCCCCACCTGATCTTGACAGAAGCAAATGCAGATTCTAGGGAAACTCATTCTTGCTGTAGGCCTAGAATAAGTCCCACAAGTAGAATTCCAAAATAAATGAATGTGAGTAAATGAACTCACAATCAAAACTCACAAAAATCAGAAATGAGTCACTGATAGCAAGATACAAAGAAACATAAGTTAGTATACTCAAAACCACAAAGATTTCGGATATAGAAATTACTGGACACCTTTCTCTACTGTTTTACTTTATAGGTGAATTACCTAGTCCTGTATTTTAATTGCCTATATGCAGATTAATCTCATATTTTTATCTCAGGGAGAAATCTCCTGATCTCCAAACATAAATGTTCTTTTTTTTTTTTAAAAAAGAGAGAGTGAGAGAGGAGAGAGAGAGAGAGAGAATTTTTAATATTTATTTTTCAGTTCTCGGCGGATACAACATCTTTGTTGGTATGTGGTGCTGAGGATCGAACCCGGGTCGCACGCATACCAGGCGAGTGCGCTACCGCTTGAGCCACATCCCCAGCCCCAAATGTTCTCTCTTGAAAATACCAAATTTACCATATCTAAAATGGAGCTCATCATTTTCCTTGATATACTTCCTATCCTGACAAAACAGACAACCTTTTCATCTAAAAATGGCTTTCAGGTTTCTTTTTCTTTTTTTTCCTTTCAGGTTTCTTGCTTAACTTTTTTTCCCCCTTTATTAGAGGAGAACACCCATTTTCAACTTTTGGTTTCTATAGAACAAACTTCTCTAAACACTCCTGGCCCCTTAGCCTACTCTTCTCCAAAGAGGTATCATGGTAGGTGGGCACACTACACCCAGGAGTTAAGTCTTTCTTTTCTCTCTCCATTCAGGATTCTATAAGGCTGTGATTTTAATATATCTGCTCTGCTGACACAAAACATCCTCTAAGGTAGGCTATCCCATGAGCAGGTGAGTATAAGAGGCTATGGAGTTAGCCAATTCATTTGGCTATCAAATCTAAGTTACATTCTATAATATCAGTTTCATCAAAACCAAAAGAGGCCAGGTGTGATGGTGCATATAGTTTCTCAGTGACTTGGTGGCTGAGGAGGGGGAATCACAAACTCAAAGACAGCCTCAGCAACTTAATGAGGTCCTAAACAACTGAGCAAGACATTATCTCAAAATAAAAAAATTTAAAAAGAGCTGGAAATGTAGTTCAGTGTTTAAGCACTCCTGGGCTCAATGATCAAGAATACTAATAATAAATGTTGTCGAGGATGTGGGAGAAAAAGATTCACTCATACTTTGCTGGTGGGACTGTAAATGGAGATTCCTCAGAAAACTTGGAATGAATCCACCATTTGACTGAGTTCTCCTACTCCTTGGCATATACCCAAAGGACTTCAAATCAGCATAATACAGTGATGCAGCCACATCAATGTGTAGAACAGCTCAAGCAACAAAAGCTAAGCTATAGAACCAACCTAGGTGCCCTTCAACAGACAAAAATGGATAAAGAAAATGGGGTATATATAAACAATGGAATATTATTCGGTTTTAAAGAAGGATGAAATTATGGCATTTGCTGGGAAATGAATGGAACTGGAGATTACCATGCTAAGTGAAATAAGCCAACCCAAAAAACCAAAGGCCTAATATTCTCTCTTGATAGGTAGATGCTAATAAACAATAAGGGGTGGGGGAGGGATGGGAATAGGAAAGACAATAGAATGAATCAAGACATAACTTTCCTATGTTCATATATGAATACATGACCAGTTAAACTCAACATCATGTACAACTGCAAAAATGGGACCCTAATTAGAATAAATTATACTCCAAGTATGTATAAATATGTCAAAATATAATCTACTGTATGTATACCTAAAGAACAATATTTTTTAAAAGTTTAAAAAAAAAAGCCTTTTGCTAAATGAAAAAGTCAGATACAAAGTCACAAAAGGCCACATACTGTATCAGTCCATTTACACAAAATGTCCAGAATAAACAAATCCATAGAGATAGAAAGTAGGTTGGATCTTTCCAGGAGATTTGGGGTGGGATGGCAGTTGGAGAGTGGCTGCTACTAAGTTCTTTCAGGGAAAATGAAAATATTCTGTCTAATAGCGATAATGGCTGCACAAAATCTGGTGAATATAATAAAAACCACTAAATTGGGGCTGAGGTTGTGGCTCAGTGGTAAAGCACTTGACTAGCATGTGTAAGGCCCTGGGTTCAATTCTCAGCACCACATATAAATAAAATAAAGGTCCATCAACAACCAAAAAAAGATATTTTTTAAAAATCACTAAATTGTATACTCTAAAATGAAGAACTTTATGGCATATGAATTTTACCTGAATAAAAAAATTAATTTAAAAAATGTATTACATATTGTTTCTTCATCTGCTTATTCTTGTTTTATTTCTCAGTCAGTTCAGAACTCAGGCAAGTAACAATGATCTTACACTCTGAGCCCCCCAAACATCATAACCCTTAGAATCAGTTACCATTTACTACTAATTCTAGATCCTGGTTATCTTTCTAATTTCCTAAATGCTTTAGTCTCAGATTTCTCCATTTTTCACCTAAATTTATTGTCCCTAAAAAGCATCCCCAGTCTCAAACTTGCTGACTGAAGAAAAACAAACATATGTCAATCTTCTCCTTAATAGGCAGCTAACCAGCAACATGAAAATCTCTTAAAAGGTTAAGATTCACACCAAAAGTCAGGATCTTTCATTAGTATCCTCCAAGCTAAAACTTATGTCTCTGTGGCACCATTTTCAGTTGATCATATTATCTTATTCAATTACATTCATAATTTATGTAGTTTATTTTCTCCAAATCCCTCAAAAACCACAATGTATCATAAGAGTTTGTATAGAATAATACAAAATAAGGATACTAAAAGTCAGTCAACCAATAACATGCTAAGTGAAACAAGCCAGTCTCAAAAAACCAAAGGTAAATGTTCTCTCTGATATGTGGATGCTAACCCATAAGGAAGGGTAGGAAGGGGAAGTATAGAAGTTCACTGGATTAGACAAAGGTGAATAATAGAAGGGAGGGGGACAGGAATAGGAAGGACAGTAGAATGAATCGGACATAACTTTCCTATGCTCATATAAGAATACATGATTAGTGTAACTCCACATCATGTCAACCACAAGAACGGGATCAAAATTGTAATGGGTTGTACCCCATGTATGTAAAATATGTCAAAATACACCCCCTACTGTTATGTATATGTAAAAACAAGAAATAAAAAAAAAATTAAGTCAGTCATCCAGTAACAAGTATGCTCCAATACATG